CGTGAGCGGAGCCAGAGCCTCGCCCGCCTCCCGCCCGAGGCTGCGCTCCCGCCCGCGCTCCCCGCCGCCGCCGCCAGCGCCGCTGCAGTGATTCCTCGTCTCCATCTAGCGAGGCTATTGTGTATTGGGCGCTTAATAATTTATTTATTCGCCCTGGAGGCCGAGGACTCCCAGTTCCAGGGGATCGTGCCCCTTGTTTGCCCTTCTCCCCGGCATATCCCGAGACTGCGGGAAGGTCAGAAGGTCTAAATTGTGGAGATGCCCTCTCGCGCTCCTTCCTTGCTGACTGCCCCCTTCGCGGGCAGGGCCGGTGCCGGGCTAGGAGGTGCAGGCCGCCCCTCCCAAGGCCCTGCGCCTTGTCCTTGCTCCACTTTGCAGTTCCGGGAGCGGGACCTGCGCTCAGAGACTCGGCTGCCTCTTGTAAGGAGTTAAGACGGCCCTAAGGAAAACCTTTGCGCCACTGCTTTTCTTCACCCATCAACAAACTGTTGGAGGCAAGATTATCAACAAGTCGGTTCTTCAGGAAGGAGCCTGGTTGCCTCTAGCTCAGACCATCTGCTCCTAGCAGTTGCACGGCACCGGCAGGCGCTCTGCTTATCTGGTGGAAGCGCTTTGCAACCACTTTGATTGATGCGGTGATTGGGGGGGGCGGTTATTTCCAGTGAGGGCCCCCATGCCTGGACCATCCTTTTTTTAGGTTGGGCGAGAGAACCAGGGGTTTAGGACGCAGCGGAGGGTCAGACATCATAGCCAGCGCCTGACTAAACATTTACTCAGCACCTTGTCTCTTCTCTGTGGGCGCCCTCCAGTCACCCCGCTGAAACCCACACTGTAAGTGTAAACTGTTTGCTTGCAAACCAAGCTTCCAGACCCATCTCCTAGCGACTCCTTCATGCCAGAGCCTACACAGGGCTCTTCTCCACATCGACTTGGCAGGTCGGCGCTGCCACCAGGGAGATCCCGAGGAACAAAAGTCTCCTCCCTTTCCTCCAAGAACCTGGGACCTGGCCCAGGAGGCATTGAATCAGGCATTGTGCTGTTCTCTGGCTTTGCACCCCAAAAAGGAGCGGAAAGAAGGGAGACCCTGGAGAGGGCAATTGAGGCTTCCTGGACAAGGTGGTCTGGGGGTGGAAGAACATGCCAAGCATTTTGGTAGCCGCCTGGGCAAAGATAGGGGACATTTATTCCTCCCTTCCTTCATTCCATTCATAGCGTTGAACACCTACTAAGGGCCAGACCGCATTGGATTTTGCGGATAGACCAGTGAACAAATGGGATACCTGCACTGGGATGAGAAGGTGGTGATGGGGAGAGAGGATCTTAGGTGACTCATGGACGGTTGGAAGAAAGGGAATGAAGCACAGAACTGGCCCACCCCAGAGGTCAAGTGACACTGGGAGTTGCCGTGCTTTTCCGGCTTCAGCATGTCAAGGAATCTCGCTCAGTACGGGACTTCTGTCTTTAGGTATGACATCAGCCCTGCTGTCTATACCTGGAGTTCTTTGCCACTTGAAAATACTTATCATCACACACCTTTTAATTCATTTTCCACAACTCTGTGAGGTCAACGTACTTGCGGCATTTGGAAAGTTCAGAGAAGTTTGTGACATACACAGAACCACACAGCTGCACTCTGGGATTCAGAAACACTAACCCCTCATTAGAGCTTCAAGACTTTGGGAGAGCCTGGGCGGGTTTTGTGTATTTCAAATCCCTCGTTATCAGTTCTGGTCTTTAGTATTCCTGTACTGGACCTCATTGAGGTACCTCTTGAGAGTCACCTGGCTCCCATCTTCCTGGCCCACCAAATAACATGGAATGTCACAGCTTCCCTTGGGGAAGATCTCTGTTATAGACCTCTCATGCCATAGCAGGAGATAGGGCAGCCCTGGCTTCTGTCACTCACCCATCTGGATTCAGATGACAACCTACCCCAGGCACATGATGAAGGGAAATGGAGAAATGAGAGACAGAGACCAGGCAGAGATAACGCACAAGAGTTTATTTGTCAGAGCTGACAAATAAAGGCAGTCTCTCTATAGCAGAGAGAGACAAAACAGGTTTGAGTTCTGGGACTTTTATGGGAGAGGCTTAGAAATCAGAGCCCGGAGGGTCCTAATGAGGGTGGCTAAGGGTTGGGTTGGTATGAGGGAGTGGGGAGCCTTTCTCAGAAAGGCCTTTGGGTGGGAAAGCATAACTTTTTTCTTAAACTGGCTGCTGTCACTTAAGATGGCTGTCCAGATGGTAAGCAAGGACCTTATATTTCCCTCTTTTTTATTTTTTATTGGGCCCCTTGGGAACAGGGACTTAGGTCAATCTTCTGTAACTGTTTCCTGCTGGGAAGGGGTGGCGTTTGAATCCCTCATTAGGGGTGCAGGATGTCCTTGGAAGGATGATGGAGGTTGATTGGTGGTGGAATGCTGTTCCTGGTGCCCCAATATTTGGTGAGGAATTGGTATTCCTGTAACAAAAGCTGGTTTATAGTTTGATTAGAGATTTTTTGGAAGGCCTATGGCAAGGAGAGGGGTCAGGAAAGGAAGTAGAGGAGAGCTGTTGTTTCCGATGTTCAAGGTCCTGTTGGGGTTGTTTTAGCTTGTCCTTTACTATACCAGACTGATTGACATAAAAATAGCATTCCTCCTGTAGGTACAGACAAAGTCCGCCTGTTTTGGTGGTAAAAAGATCAAGGCCCCTTCGATTCTGCAGAATCGAGCTGGGACTCTATGGTTAGTATGGTTGGAGCAAGTCTCCTTGTAAGTCTCCTGGAAATTGGAATGGTAACTCCTGATAAAGGTACCCTGGGAGGTGAGTACAGAATAAGGGAGGAGGCCAAAAATGGAAACGGGAAGGGTGGTACTCATGGCTCCACAGTGTCCTCGTGGTCCTCAGGGACGGAAGGAAGATGGGGGGTTCCGGCCTTGGAGAGATGCATCTTGAGAGGGCCCGTGGGTCTCACTGTGGAAAAGGGCAAGAGGACTGTTTTAAATGGGAGTTGTGAACCCAATATGGGTACCCTCAAGGTGGGCCACCGAGGGAGTGGTAAGAATGACCCGATAGGGTCCAGTCGATTATGCAGAGAATTGTGAGAAGGGGTCCTGTTGGAGGGGGGCGGTTAAAAAGTACCAGGTCGCCAGGAGAAGGGGAAGAGGCAGAACCAGGCTTGCCCATAGAGAGTCTTGTTGCCTGGCCAGGGCTTTTGTGAGCTCTGCTGAAGAGTTGAGAACCAAGACCTGAGAGTGAACTTGCCCAGCGGAAGGGATGGGAAGGTCGAGAGTCTTGGTGCTGGGCCAAGGTCTAGGTTAACTTTTGTCGCTAGAGAGAATTGTCACTGCCTCTCCAGGGAGGGGGAGGGAAGGGGAAGGCCAAGTCTTCTCCCCAGATGGGGCCAGAGTGTGGATGAAGAAGAAGAAGGTGTGTGCTCACTGTCCTGGGCCCTCAGGCCAGGACCCCAAAGCAGCCCAAATCCCCGAGGGGAGAGCAAAGCTGATGGGGTGATCAAGGCTGCTCTGCAGAGAGAGGGCAGCGGCAGCAGGAGGGACAGCAGGTGTTGTGATTGGGCCAGAAAATGGAGCGGGGTTTGAGACGACGTGAATGGCCTCGTGGTGTGAGGCGATCCCAGCCAGTAGGGTCCACCTGGGAAGGGGTAATGGGAAGGCACTGGCAGATGGAATAGAGGACGGTCCTAAGGTGAGGGTGAGGATCAGGGGAGCAGCAGGTGAGTCTGGATGGAAGTGTATATGAGGGGAGAAGGAAAGTGTCACCTCCAACTTTGTCAGGATGTCCCTTCGCATAGGGAAACAGGGCGCTGTGGAATGACCAGAAAGGAGGGGTAAATATTAGCCAAAAGCGCAAACAAGGCTGAGTGTCTGTGAGGGTTGTAAGGTTTGCCCTCTACCCCACAACAGAGGTCATAGAGCGAGTGGTGGCCCCAGGGCTCCTTGAGGACTGAATATGTAGCCCCAGGGTCTAGGAGGAAGGAGATAGGCCCACCTGAAATGCACGAAGTGAAGGGAGTGGTCAGGTGATGGGGACCTGGGCCTCCCCAGTCCTCTGCAGTCAGTCTTAAGAGTTGGAAAGGGGAGCCAGAAGGGCCGGGTGGCTGAGAGCCACAAGAGCTTGGGGACAGTCAATGGCCCAGTGTCCCTCCTGATGGCATTTAGGACAAGGGCCCATAGGCTTGCAAGGCTTGGGACATGTACAAGCCCAGTGACCCAGCTGACCACATTTAAAACAGGGTCCAAGTGGTCCTGAGGGATCCTTCCGCGGGCCAGTGGAACAGGGACAGATGCTGAGGCTGGACAGACAACTTGAGCAAGCATCTGATATTTCTGCTCCCAGGCCTTCTCCTCTCTCCCGTTATACTCCCTAAAGGCCACTCCCACCACCTCAGCTTGGGGAGTTAGGGGCCCCCTCTCGAGGTGCCTTAGTTTGGCCTTAATATCGGGGAAACTCTGGGAGAAAGAGCAGTCATGAGAGTTGTCTCCCATCTGGAGTCTCGGGGTCCCGATTAGCATGTTGTAATAAAGCCTGGGTCAGGTGGTCTAGAAATGCTGAAGGGTTTTCATTCTTATCTGGGAAGATTTCCTGGAGCCTTTCACAATTGATAGCCATAAAAAAAAAAAAAATTGATAGCCATAGGGGCGGCCTTTCTA